AGTAGGAGATTTGAATCGAGAAGTAATTTTGATTATTTTTTATAATAATATTTTATGTTTTTAATATGGATATTGCAAGTTATTTATTTTAGAAAATTAGATCTCAATCGAAAATTAATTATCATATTTTTTTGTTGAAAAAATAGGTTTTACTAGCGAATGGTTGTTGGAGCCTTAGTCGACACTAAAAATCACTCATAACCTTTAGTGGCAATATTTTGGGATTTTGTGGCGACTTTGTCGCCACTAAAAGTCAAGTTCTTTTGTAGTGAATCTTAGTTGGCAATGCTTAGGTGGAGGGATTAGTCCCATGTGGCTTGCCACGTCACTAAAAAATTGGGGTGTCAACTCTTGAGGGTATTTGTGGTCTCCTGGGATAACTTTTGATCCCAAAATGTAATGAAGGGTATAAGTGGTCTATTTCGCATAGTTCAGGAGCAATTTTGACCCTTTTCCGTTTTATATTTAATTTAATGCTTTATTTCCTTGTTTAACTCCACTTGAATGAGTTAAACCAACATCACTGTTCCAACTAAACATGTATGAGATCCAATAACTAATGCCGGTAAACATTCTTGCAGGTCTGCATGGGAAAATCTCAAGCAAGTCTGAAGCTCGACATTCACTGCCTCGAGAATTTGGAACAAAACACTTCATTAAAGTCTCATTCTTCATGATGTAGCTCCTTAACAGAAGACTTCCTGCTGATGATGCAATTAAGAAGTTCGGATTCATGGGCCTGTAAATTGCCAGTGTTGCAAAGTATCTAAGCCTAAATCCATCATCAAGATGAGAGCACTTTTGAATTTGAAGATAGATGAGGACAGAATGACCAACTTCAAAGCTAGAACTAGCAAGAATTGTTTTTAATATATAATTTATTAGTTTTTGTGTAATGAACTGCGGGTAAATGCTCCACTAGGATTTGGGATATAATAGGTAACCACAAAATATCTTATTCCCAGATAAAATAGGTAAATGGCAAATATATATTTTTATACATCACTTTTCACATCGATGAAGGTTGTTGTTAAAAACAAATAATTTGTTCTTAAAATTTATGCAATACATATTATTCTAAATACAAAAAATCAAACTCTCAATAAAAAATAATCTCATCATAACTAATCCTAACATAACTACCTCATCATAACTAATCCCAACATAACGTATTTCATCATAACTAATCTCAACATAGTGTCAAGGTAAATTTCAACATCAATGTACAGTGATAAATGATAACGTATTTCATCATAACTAATCTCAACTTAGTGTCAAGGTAAATTTCAACATCAATGTACAGTGATAAATGATACTTTTTGTTAATGTCAAGTGCCACAAATTTAAATTTTCATAAATTGGACATGGTAAAACTAAAAATTAAGCTAGAAACTTAATTTATTCGGAGAAAATTAAAATTTCATACTAATAACGTATTATAAAATAAAATGGAGAAAAACTTTTTGGATCAATCCCTTTCTTATTGATAACAACAAAGTTGTAGTCATTCCCTGAACAAACCTGCACGCAACCAGAATAAAGGTTGATATAAGTATTTCATTACATTAACACACATGGCAAATACTCCTAACTAAAGTGCAGACCTTGTTTTTAAGATCAATGATCTTTTGCACTCTCTCATCAACTGAGCGTCTTTCGGCAGCAGCCATTGCCTCTCTCTGCTCCGCATTCGACTAGAAAAACCCTGCATCTGAGAAAGACAAGTGTGTTAACTATGTGAACTCAATAAGTCCTAGTAAGTACATGTAATATGAAGCTGTGATGAACAATAATCACCTCATCTCATATTCCAATGATACATTACAAGTCATAATGTAACAGTTCTCAGCTCGTTTTTTCATGTCTGAATGTCTTGAACCATAACGAGCACAAGTCCCCCAACCTGAAAGCAGAGCAAGAAAACATGAGTACTGCAACATGTTGAGTCTGTACTCACAGATGGGTCTGTGGTTGACACATTTCTAAAGGAATGTGTCCTAGGTTGATAGTTTAATAGGCTGACCAATTGGAATAACACCAATTTGGTTTTTTTCCCAACTTAGCTTCCTGCATAGCTTGTTGGTTTCTTTGTTATTTTCCTCCCTTTCCCCTTTATTTTTGAGTTGCAGATATTCTAGAATTAAAGATAGTTATTTCAAGCATTCACAATTTAAATTAAACAAATGGTTAAAAAGAATGAATTGAACTTCACATCTTTTGGCTTTTCATGAATCATCAAAATCCCCAATATATTTGTCTTTTGAACATGAATGGCCTGTGCTGTTACGGGTATGATAGAGCTGTAGTAGGCCAAATATTATGTAAACATCTTGATGACAACACTAAGATTTTCTAGGATATCGTAAGAAACAGGACGCAACATCCCCAACCAAACATCCCAATTGCTTCACATTTTTCAAGAATTGTCACGCAAGAAAATTATGTTATTAGTTAAGACAAGAATAATAGGTTTTTTCCCTACAAGAGTGTTTTTAAGACAAGATTAGTGGGGCTGAGACTAGGAAAGTAAAGAGAAGTTAAAAGATTTCTTTAGAAGTAGAGTAAGTTTTACTGTGAAAACGACAATGTTAAGTGTCTGTGAATCAAGAGGTGACCTTGGACACTTCGTCAATGGCGGGGATGAGATCGGAACGTCATCTCTAATAAAATTTTTCGCTTCGCCATATTAAGCAAATATTTACAATTTTAAATTATTAGAAAAACCCTAAAGATTTGCATTCAATGGCGACAATATTCCTCATTTGTTGGGGTGAAGAAGTGAGAGGTAAATGCGCGGCAATTTATAGAATGCTTTATCCATACACGAATATTTATGAAAATACGCGATAATTTATAGAATGTTTTATCCATACGCGAATATTTATGGAAGTACGCGGTATTTTATAAAATGCTTTACCCATACGCAAATATTTATGAAAATACGCGATAATTTATAGAATGTTTTATCCATACGCAAATATTTATAGAAATACGCGGTAATTTTGTAGAATATTTTATCCATACGCAAATATTTATGGAAATATGCGGTAATTTATAGAATACTTTACCCATACGCAAATATTTATGGAAATACGTGATAA